AAAGCAACTGAATAGCATTCATCTCATTCTTCTCAAGAATATTAGAAAGTATGGATTTACAATTAATAAATAACTACTATAGCTATCAGCATTCTTGATCATCGAAAGTTTTTATATAAGCTTCAAGGTAAGCAGCAAATCAACATTTTCTTTTCTCCAGAACACGTATTAGATGCAAATAAAAATGAAAAAGCCAACTAGATATATACCTTCACTTCTGTCTGTAAAACCACAAATGATGCATGCACAGATCCATGGCCTGCCGGCACGGGATGCTTTTGCACCCCCTTTGATTTCACCATTATGTTGCTTCAAACTACATCCATTAAGATATGTACATCAATATATATTTCTTGAAATCCATGACATACTTTGATGTCATTTCTTTTTTTTTTGAGCTGAACTGTGATGTCATTTCAAAATTCTAAAAATTGAGAAGAAAGCAGAATTAGGCATTAGCTACACAATTTTAAAAAATTAATTTAAAAAAAAAAAAAAAACAGCAGTCTATCAATGCCATACAGGAAAGTATTAATTCACTTTTAATCAGCTGAATTGACTTGCTGACAGCTGGAGTAACATGTAAAAGGATAGCTTTTGCACCCTATAAGTATATTCTTATGTAGATACCAAATTCGATATCCTAATCACAGAAGCAAAAGTCAGTCTAACAATTCAAAGCTTCCACTTCTGGTGAGAAGCAGAAAGAGAGAACCTCAATTCCATCATCAATTATGTATTATGCACCAAAAGCATCTTTGATGATTCTGAACTAGTCTTCCTTCAGCATTAAGTCGTTGCTCTTGTTTGCTCATCCCCTTTCAGTATTAATGAACTTTTTATCCTCTGTACCATTTTGCATCTGCTTCTGTTCCCTAAATTTTGCATTTTTGACAATCCCTATGCATGACTTAACAAACAGTTTTCACTTGACATGCAATGTTAATAATCCAGTGCAAACTTACTAATGACATTAGCTAATCTTGGTACTCAGGTTCCATTGGCAACAGGGCAGCATTGCAGATTATATGCCGCACTCTTCAGTGCTAACTAAATTTGCCAGTCCTGTATTCTTTGCTCTCCTGCAATGTTATTAAACAGTGCAAACGAGTCACTTCCAGGGATCTCACTGGCAAATGTAGGCTCTCGATCATTCTCAGTCCATTTGCTAAAGTAAGTGGTTATGGTTGATTGTAACATAGGTGAACAATGGATCCTGGCTAGATCTTGGCTTTATAATCTCTAGGGATACTTGTTCTAGATGAAGAATTTTCTTCAGCACACAAAGCTCCATCCATATTTTTCAGCAACAAACAACCTGATATATTAAGTAATTAACTATGTCAACAAGCATGGGGAAAATACACTGGATTTGGTGGCTGTTTCCAAGAACATAGGATCTACTATAAAACTTGGCAAAAGGTTCAGAAATATCAGTATCACACTGGTTGGCACGAGCTAGGAAAAAAAAATGAACTTGTAAAAATAAAATTTAGAGCAGCTAGTAAGTACTAAGTAGTAAGAATTGCTCCAAGTAATCAAGACCACAAATAACCATAGAAGTTTCTTATTTTTGGATGAATCGTTAAAATTAAAATCAAACCAACTACTCGAAAACAGCAAGTATATACAACTTCCAAATGTACAAAATTTTAAATATTGATAAGGAGATGTGCATGTATGTCTATCCCCAATTCCCAATTGAAACAGACAGCTTTATTGTGTCAAAAACTGCTGTTTCCATAACGAAACATAATTTTTAGCATGCCACATATATCCTATAAAAGTTACAAGTTCCATCAAAAGGCATTGTATTCTTCTACAACCATTCTTTGCCAACTCAAACCAAAAATAGTTATTTCATGGAATCAGCACTTCACACCTAAATTCTTCATACGGATTCTAAGCCCCAGAAATAATCTGAGTACCAAGTAGACAAAACGTGCTTATTCAAGCACGATCCATTTCATCTCAGATATACTCAACAATACTTGTGTGCTGAATTCCTGAAGCCTAATATAATTATAATTTATGAAAACATACTATGCCCATTGAACCTCGAGAAATCCAAGCTAAATGCACATTGAGCACAAAAATCATTTGTCAAATAGCCCAAAACATCATGAAATCAAAAGACTTGATATTGAACATACCGGCGAGTGAAATTAGTCGTGACACCAACATAGGTTTTGACGGGGGGACTAGTGGCAATGATGAGATAAACACACCAAGAGGATGATTTGGAATTAAGCCTCAATTCGGGAAGTGAATTCGAAACAGGAGATGATGAGGATGATGAAGATGGGGAAGATAATTTGGGCGAATTAGGGTTAGCAATTGGGTGCTTAACAGAGCGAAATGTATTAGACAACGCTCTCATCATACAGATCAACTACCTTAAACGGGTTAGCTTTCCCGTTTCAAAGAATGGGAAAATTGTTGTCGTTATTGTCCTTCACCTTGTTCGTTGACGGCTTGACGCCTCCATTGCTCTGCTAAAAATTAGGAAAAATTACTGGAAATTTGCACTGAAGAAAAATAGCCCCCACAAACAAAAATCTCTTTAATTTCAAAATCTCAAATAATAATTCTTACAAAAATTATCATTTACTTTTCAAAAGTAGTTAATTGCTGTTAAACTATCAAAATATAATAAATAAGGCTAATTTAGAGCTTTGAAAGTCAAGAGATATTTTTTAAGAATTTTTCCAAAGAAAATCTCTACTTGTTCACTTGTCATAATTTTTTTATAATCACACTTTTTCTCACAAATTTTACAATTCATTTTTAAGAAGTGATTTATATTTTTATATTAAATATTATAATGACATTGAATGATTTTGTGAGTTAACAATACTCAACACATCTCATCTAATGATAAGAGTTAAAAAAAAAAATAACCCTTGTACTTTGTAGAGAAAAAACATTTACTCCCTCCATTTCATAATAAGTACTATATTTTAAAAAAATAACTTATTTTTCAGGTTTCTTTCATTCAATCTTAAAGGGGAACATTGATTGAGAAGCATGGGTATTGTGCCATAGCACAAAACAAAATTATAAAGAAAAATTAATGTTTTGATTTTTACATTGTGGTTGTTAAGTTTTGATTTTGTATTATTCAATCATTTAACTTATTGCCGTTCAATCTCTATAATTGTAACCATTTAAAATTTTAACACCTCATAAAATACATATTTTTTTAAAATATAAAAACTAATGATTGAGTTTCATGAAATTAAAGTTCATAAATTCAGTTGCACCAAGACAAATGAAACTTAGAAAAGCCAAACGTAGTTGTCATGCTTGGCCAATGCCCAGTGGCGTGGGTATTAAATAGACAGAAACAACAACAGGCCACTTTTAAGTTTTAAAGTTCCCTACATCAGACAAGCAGTAGTGTGCCCCGCATTATCCTTGCCCATAAATAGAGGGGGTCCGAGAAAGAAGAAAGTGTAAAAATGCCCCCAAAAAAGTTTTTTTTTTTAAAGAAAAAAAGATTATATGCTGTGGACAAGAGAGGAGAGGTGGAGTATAAATAACTATTGATGACTTGGCTTAGTTTTTTTCACAGATATATTGATATTGAACGGAACAAAGAAAAATTTAATTCTTCTAATGCAATCGATTAAAAGGGTGTTTGGAAGCACCCAAAAGTATCACAAGATGAGACAAACTTTTTATATATTTATTTTGTATATCGTAAAAATATTTTTAAAATTTTTTGATCCTATCCAAACACTACTAATATGCAGACAAACACGTTTTATCCAAACGAATTGGGACACGCACAATTTGTTGTTATGCGTGTTCTTAGATATGGAATCTTTTAGTATCCAATTACGGAATCCAGCTCTTAAGTGCCCCCCCCACCTTCTGATAGAAAAGGAAAAACTTTAATTAGCAATTGCCATAATAATTTAATTAAAATATCTTTCATAGAGCTTCGGGGTCAGCCCAACTGTAGTTTAGTGGAAAATCTCAATCAACAAGTAACGCTTCTTTGACGAGAAGTATAGAAGAATCCAGGATCGAGGAACAGAGGCATAGCGATTCAGATTTCTGGAGGTGCTTCTTTGGGCCTAAAGTAGCAGATTTTCGCAGTTACCATGATTACTGTATATGGTTGTGCTTCAAATTTATAGCTTATTCAACGATTTGTACCTTTCTTTTGGCTCTTCTCTCTGATTCCGATTCTAATTTCTGGTGCTCATAATCTGTCTGTCTTCGCGTCCCAATTTTTGCCCGGATTCTCTAACCCCAATTGTTATTTCAATATCAAAAATTGGCCTTTCTTCTCGATTCTGGATTATAGTGGGGAGAATCCATCTGGGTAATCTATAAATTGTTAAGCTGATTCTGAAATCTTAGGCCATGAATATCTAGATTGGGCTTGATGTTTCACGTATCTTTTAGAGATAGTGGCTTCGTTTCATATGTTCTTCAGGACTACAGAAATGCTTCTTTGAATATATTCTTGAATATTATCAACTGGAGACAATAATCGGTTTCTGCTTTATCTGAGTTGGTGCCAGTAACGTAAAGTCAAAATCATTTGCGAGTTCTTTGCATTTGCCTTGACTTTAAAATTGGATGTTGCAGATATTCTCTTCTGTCGATAAGCCACTGCAATATCATTCAAAGCAAATAAAGGAAATATGAATGATGGAGATGTTGAGCTTTCAGATGGTTTCTTATTGTCGAATCCAGAATCGTCGAGCAATGTTCAGTCTTCAACATCCATGAATAAAATCAATGAATTCTTGAGGAACACCAGAACATGCACCCATACTCACACTTGCAACCCTCCTGGCCCAGATGCAGCACATACCCACACATGTTACCACACACACACCCAAGTCATTGCGTCTGAAGAAGATGATCATACAGATGATAAGGAGCATACCAACACAAAACGAAAACGGCCTTCGGGTAATAGAGAAGCTGTTCGAAAGTATAGGGAGAAGAAGAAGGCACAGACTGCTTACCTAGAGGAGGAAGTTAAGAAATTGCGTCTGCAGAATCAGCAATTAGTTAGGAAGCTACAAGGGCATGCACATCTTGAAGCTGAGGTTTTGAGGTTGAGGAGCATCCTGGTTGACCTCAAGGGAAAAATTGACAATGAGTTGGGTGTTTTCCCCTATAAAAAGCAGTGTAATGGCTCTTCCTCAATCTTTAAAGAGGGGCACACCAACATGCTGCCCACAGACCGCGGGACTGATCTTCAGTGTCAGACCAATTTCCAATGCTTTGATCAACAGGCAGGATTATCATCTCAGGTTGGTACCTGTGGAAATGAAAATTTTATGATTCCATGTGAAGGGAACTGTGAACCTCTAGCCGTGAATTGTCAAGGTAACACGAATAACATATCAAATACTGAGGGGCAAGTTGTGGACTCAGTGGATAACTTGATGTCATCTGCATCTCAAGATAAGTAATCAATCATTCGGACATATCTTCTGTGAGTTCTTTCTTGTTAGATTCTTGTCGTTACCTTTTATCTGTGTTGCTGAGGTGGGTGATGCATTTCATAGTTAGGATAATCATCAAAGCTTTCTATGTGAGGGGATTTGTCCAAAATAGTTTGATGACGATGGAATCTTGTATGTAAGAGTGATGTGGTTGTAAATTTTGTATATTTATACCAGGCATCACAAAAGGAAACAACTTTTTTTGTGTTGTTTTTCCTCAAAAGAACAAGGAAGAGACCTTCATGAGTGTGTCAAGTTTTTGTTACTGAAGACACTAGTACTCTTGTGCAGTTGCAACTGCAAGATGCCCTGATATGTGCCGTTGTTGATCTCATCTTAAAGTATTAGTAATATGATACTTGTTTGACATTGAATAGAGTTCACGTTTTGCGTAGAATTGAGATCTTCGCACTTTGTTCTTAAGATGATTCATGATAAAAGATTCCATGAAGTACACACCTTCACCTCAAGTATTGATATGGAACGATGGAGTGGAATAAACGGGGGTCTTGATTACTAAGCCTTTGCTTTTAGAAGTTGCCTATCCTTTTACCACCTCCTGAACACCTCCTGAAAATAAGTCATCCATATCTGCCTGTATGTGCCCGGGTGTGTACATGTTAGCAATAGATCAAGTGTCTGGAATATAAAGTATTGATAGGTTCTAAGATTTTTATGTATTAATTTTGATGATAATGTTTCTATTGCAACTCTTGATGACAGCATAGCATATGACAAGGATATAAATTTCCTTTGCAGTGCTCTTTTGATATGTACGTGTTTTTTAATCCACCTTCTTTTACCCTTATAGGGTCTGCCTTAAATTGACTTTGTTGGTAGATATTTCTCAAGTTAGGTTGGCTCATTACATTCTGCAGGAAAGTGATGCATCTCTAATCTTAAACTTATGTTATGCTGTGTGATTTACATGGCATTTTCTACGCGAAGGAAACCACAAGCACAAGAAAGCAAATCAATAACAGTGACATTAACTTGAAATGATAAGAGTAGGGCTGCAGAATTCTCCCAGGACATAGCTTTTTCTGGCAGTCCTGTACTGTTGCATTGTGTACTTGAATTGAAACTTAATCGTTATGAATTCATCAGAGAACTAAAATTTCTTCATAAACTATTCTTTGCCTCTTTCATTATTTCATTCTCAGTATAGCAATGTTTTCAACTTGATATCAGTTTGCCGCCTGTTAAAACTAACCTTCATTTATCCATTCGTTTTGCCTGTTTTGCTGCATTCAAAATGACTTGTGCTTTCAATTCGATGGTCTTAGTCCTACACCCTACAGTCTGCAAAATCAAAGTCTAATACTGCAGATTGCAGATTTTCTTGTTCGTTTGTATGTGTTAATTCTCGTTAATTTTGGTTACATTCACAGACACAGTTCTTTTATTCTTTAGTGTTTGTATCCTTGAACTCTTCCGAGAACTTTGCTAAGGACAAAAGTTAGGTAACTTGCTATCAAGCAAGATTTTTTATAAGAAAATAATGAATGTGGATGTTTATTGAAAACATGTTTCTCACAATCCATTTCTGTAGCCTGATAACGAATATATGGATTGCCCCTTTTAAGTGTTTTCGTTACCCCCGTTGATACCTAAGGGAAACCAAGAATTGGAAAATGAGTTTATGCTGACTCCTTTTGACGTGCACAAGGATGAAGAAAGATCTATTACTACTCCTCGAATTTTTAATATAAAACGTAATTATTAATTTAACTAAATTAAGAATATTAGTTAAATTAGTAATATGATTTTTTTAAAAAACATTGTTGTTATTTTCTTAATTTTCTCCTTCCATCTCCTATTTAATAATTGTTGAGAGAATATCAATAAGGTTATTTCGGAAAAAATTAAAAAACATGAAATTAGGTTTTATATATAGGATTAATATCAATTTTCAAATTAACTCTTATATTAAAGATCGAAAGAGCTCCTTATGATTGTCACCCAATAACAAATTTTTTATTCCCCTTTTTTGGCAATTCCATTCTACTATAAATTTTACTTTAAATTTTAAGAATTTTTCTATTAAAAGAAAGGTGAAGGATACTCTATTTCTTCCTAGTGTGGTCTTGTAAAGCTTGATGCATCTCACAATAAGAGCAAGTCATGGGATGGAAAAATGTGTTTAGTTTATTTTGGATATTATCATTAATATTCATATTGCGGTCTAAAAATGTTCATACTGGTTACTTGTCATCAGTTTACCCATGGACATCTTGGCCTCAAAAGAATACTTTTGGATTGGGCTTAAATTGAACATGATTTAACCAAGCCTTATATTCGGCCTAAATTAAAAAACCCCCAAAAAAATTGAACCTTGGATTTATCAATTTTTTAACACTTTGGCCCAAAAAGATCTTTGAAAGTAAACTCACTTTTGATGGAAGTTCCAAAAAGAACAGCACGTCCTGTATCCATATCCATCACTGGTCTCACTTTTAAGAGTTCATCTTGATGTACAAAATAGAGTAAAAATATAAATTTTAAATTTTAAAATATGATTTTATGTTAAAAATAACAATTCTACCCTTGAATAAATCAAAGGGATCTCAACTCCCAACCAGATATCATTACTTTGTCCCTTTACTATCCATGGTCTCGCCATCACTGCCTTACATTATTATTAATTCATTATCCATTCCATTCACTTCAGTATTTATTTCCATTTCGTAAATGAAAAGTATATATTCTTATTGATTTAATACTTAACAAAAACAGTGTGAATTCATTCATGTTGCCCACCAAAGAAATGCCTTTACAAGTAATATGATTAAGATTAATTGAGTAGTAATACAATACAATACAATAAAAATGTCATTATTCAAAGTAAGCATTGAACCTTCATCCAAGATTGCAGAAACAATGAAGCTTAATTGGTACAGCCAATTAACATGATGAAACATAAAGGGGAACATCTATTTGGTTCTATTTCTTGATTACAACAGCACGATATTTCAAAAAAAGAGATAAATACAGAAGGTAAATAAGTTCTAAATGTTAGTTGAAACTCCATGTGTTTGCCTATCTCAGTCGTTGCAATAGAGAATTAATACTCCTTCCTATGTATGCATTCCAAAAATTAGTGATAAGATGAGGTGGTCCTGTATGGAGTTCATGTCTCACAATTACATGGATCAATTCTCTCTCTCTCTCTCTCTCTCTCTCTCTCCATACACATATTTTTTAGAAAAATAGACAGTTTGGTTTTAATTAATAAGTGAAATATAGGGTTTAAGACAATGTTGACCATAAAAAATAATGAGATTGACTGATGAATACTCATATATTGATGAGAAGATGGAGCACATGGGGCTTCCTACCTTTCTTCCAGCCTCATTTTTAACTCTTCCTCTCTGCCTCATCTTTTCTTGTCCCATCTTTCTCTCTCTATATATGACAAACACGACATTTTTGTCTCCTCATTATTCTCTCTCTCACTCTCGAAGTCCAAATTATTACCTCCGATTCTAATTATAAGATCTCGTCTATGACAACAAACGAGGTCTTATAATTAGAATCAGAAGTAGTGATAATCTTGAAAGGTTAGTCTAATAATAGTGAAAATAAAACGTATTATGGTTTACAATGCATAAATGAACCAATCCTTCGGTTGGTTTTTATTTAGCTTTTTTCCACGTGCATTAGTTAGACTAAAAAGTGAATTAATATTAAAAAAATGACCACGAAATAATTTTTCGTCAATAATATAGTTTAATGAAAAATAATAGAGAAAAGTTATAAATTGCAGGGAGCAATTTGAAAAATCAATAAAATTATAAGCAAAAGTATAATACTCTGAATGAACAAATTAATTGAAGAGCATAGACACATAGAGTTCACCTTATGGCAATTTAAAAAAGTTGCTTGCACTAATAAAAAATATGACATCAACGTATGAATACAATCTGGAGATGCTAATGCAGACGCAAGGTTTTTATTAATTAATTTATTATTTAATTTGGTCAGAAATGAAGTGAGGGTATTAATAATTGCAAAGAGGAATATGATGAAAAAGGAGAAGGGAAATTATGATAAGATCCATCACAGAGTGATGATGATGTGGAAGTATACAATCTGAGATCACCTCTTTTTTCAATTATTATTAATAATATTATTATAAGATATCATCACCCAAATCTCCCTGCAACTATTTCATGCACTCACTTAAGCATCCCATGTTAAGCTGTTTGCCCATAAATGAACCCGCCTATCTAGAGCTAATACTTTATCTAATTAAGAGATGCCCCAAGAACAAAAAAACAAAACTTCTTTGTGAACAATATCTTCCCTTTCATTTATCCAAAATTTCATATTGAAAATTTATAATTCTTTTTGAAGATTGAAGTTACTACTAAATTTTGGGGCATTTTGGTAAATTACTTTAAATTTAAAAAAACAAAAGAGCAAAAGAAAATGTTTGTTTTTTGCCAGCAAAAAAAAAAAGTTATACTCTCTCAAATTCTTGATATAAGAAAAAGAACTAGATAACTAGTCTATCAATAATTAAAAAAATTAGTTAATTTATTTATTTATAACAAATGTATGTTAGTTTTTCTAGAATACGTTTTCTAATTATGTGTATTATAATCAATTCTTGATAGACATCTATGTACTATGCATAATTAATAAGAATATTTTTTAAAAATTATAAATTTAGAAAACTAAATAAATTGATATTTTATATTTAAAACTAAAATAAACTTTTTTGTCTAGCTTCTTAAAATGTGATAATTTAGCTTCTCATGCAAAAATCTTCTTAAAAAAAGTTTTGAATATAATTTTGTTAATTACTGAAGCCCTTGAATTTAATTAATAATGGGTCCGAATTATTTGTCCACTTGGAGCAGCTTTAAGCTTTAATTGGTTGATGTGGTCAAAATTAAAGTTTGAGGCAAAAAGAAAATTATTTTTTTTTTGAAAAAAATTAAGTAAGAGAAGTGGGTGAGTTGGATGAGACAGAAGACCATACAATAGAAGAAGGGAGCTATCATTGTCCCGTTTGCAATGATTTGCAATTAAAGAAATTAAGGGGTCAGATATTAATATGTTTTTGCCAATTATACCATTTCATTTGGCATCTCTATGACTTAATAGTGATGTTGACACTTCTATAATCATGCCCTCTCTTGAAAACGACCCCTTCATTAAGGTATAATTCATTCCATTAATCCCCCATTAGACCGAGAATTCGTCTTTAATTAACTTTTTAATGCTTTCCATAAAAATTTAAATTTACAAGAATGCCACTAACAATAATTTGTAAAGCCTAATTAAATTTCTTACCTGAAACTATTATTTATATATTCATAAATGTCTAAATCTATATTTGCAACCAAAAATTCTGTGATATAACTATCCTTAATTAGATTGATCTTTTGGAATCTTAATGTCATTTTCCCTTGATCTTGTTGCTAGTTCATACTTCATACTTCATATTATTGGGTAAATTAAAGATCTACACTTATTCTTTTCACATATTTTACTTGGCTATCCTTATATCATAATGCATAAATATTTATATTTTTAAAATTATTTCAGAATATAAGTTGTAAGTCACATCATTTATAACTTAATATATTTTGACTTTTTATAAATTTTACTCTACATAAATTTTTTGTTTCTTAAATATGTTCTCATTTTATTTTTAGTCCCAAGTTTTTTTATATTTAAAATATCGATTCCTATAATTTAATTAAAACTTAAACCATTTTTCTCCTTATAGAATCAAAACCTATAGTTTGAAACTTGATAAAGTAAAACCAAAATTCTTGTAAATTTGAGGGGCTAAAGATTATATACCCTATAAATTAATTTCATCGCTTGTCAAAGTACATGATTAAAAATAATACTAGTTTTAAGGATATCTAACTTGAAATTTATAGGATTTGAGTTATTAAATATATTCCCCCAAATAACATACCTATATTGGTTTCTTTCTTCTTCTTCTTTTTTTTTTTTAACAAGTCAGAAAATCCTGAAATCATTTTCGACTTAAAACTAATCTCTGTCAGACCGGGAATATTAAGGTTGAAGCCCTCTCAACAAACGCTCTTTTTGAAATTTGAGCTAATATGTGCGGATCCATGTCTTACAATGAATTAGGTGAATATCC